TTTAAATCTACTGATTTGTTCTAAAAATATTGTTTGTTTGTTTATTTGGGGTTTAGTAGGGCGTAAAACAATGCCCGTTGGTTGTTATTGAACTTGGTTGGGGTTTATTGGTAATCAACCAATCCGAACCTGACACAGCAATGAGTGCGAAACGAATCCAGGCTGGGAGGGAACAGCCAGAGTCCAGAGGGTGCTTCTCAATCCATATTACTTGACAAACTTGTTGATAGGAACTCTACTAACCTCTAAACATTTTTTAAAAATACCGCAATATTTGGGATACTGAACCAACCAGCCTTACGGGAGAGCACATGCCAATACTGCAGTCATTGTTTATCAGTCTCTTTCTCATTAACTACTCTCTAAGCGCATTCATGATTTCCTATAAGTAACCACTGTAGTTATCAAGACTTAATGCTATTCATCAACAGTTGCTCAGTGTATTGCTTTCCTAACCAATCTTTATCCGAACATTGCTGTTTGTACTGTATTCCCATCGTTCAACCTTCCTTTTCCTAGCTCTCCTATCTACTTCCCCACCGTATTCAGATATCCATGATTTAAAACAGCTGCTTAGTCCTTCCCTCCCCCCAGTCAATTACAAGTCTAAATGAACTCTGCTCTGATCACAGCCCTCTAATTCTCCCAGTTTTACTAATTCCCATTCCCAAACCTTTTCCACCGTTTTTCATTTGAAGTCTAGTCAGCTGCAAAATATTTCGTAAATTCCTTTTTGACAAAATGATCTTAGATTGTCCTTTACTAGTATTATCAAACAAACTATCTGGATTTCCGCCTTCCAAATTGATTCCTCCAGACTTCTAGATGAAAATACTTTACTTCGACATCTGCTGGATCTGATGCATTATAACTATTATTGCAAACCACTAGCGGATCCAGGATTTAATTTTTTTTGGGGGGGGGGGACGGGCTTCAGCTCGAAAGCCCCTCCCTCTAGATTCGCCTTTGCTGCAAATAATGAAAGCTGAAATTGGCCACCCACAGAGTCCAATCCTTAATTCCTACCTGTCCTCCCATTCTGCACGTGGCTATTCCCTGTGAGATATCAATAGAAAAAAAATCTAAAATCCCATTGAAGTTCGCTATAACCTCCAACGAGATTAAGCGTTTGATGCCGAGGGAATCGGTATGGTAAGGGATATGAGCGGTAAAATTATGTATACTCTTCTATGGCCTTCATCTTCTTTTACGCCTTCTACATCGGGTGGTCTTCCCAATGTTTCCTATGTGACTATTACTGATATTACTTGTTGAATGTAATTGCCTAATGTATTATGCCTTTAATATTTTCGAGAAACAAAACAATATTGTATCTACTATCTTTTAAACTAGCATTGATATAACATCTCATATAGTCACATATTAATTATATAAGTGAAGGGGAAATAATATTTTTTGAGGGGAAGTGCATGCGCAATCGGCCTTGGGAGGGGATGGCCACCCCTGCTCTCAATCATTTTGTGACGATAAAAAAGTACAAAAAAATGTATGCTGGAACCCAATCGGATGGGCTCCAAAAACATGCGGAAGTAAACGAATACAAAATAATTATTTTTGGCGCCAAACATACAACCGTACTAGATAAATACAGAACAATGATCTTTGGCCCTTCAAAGGGTGCCGACCAATCATTACACAGTCATAAAAAAGTACAAAACATATATTTTGGGGCTCCAACCTAACATCGAAGCGAAACTAATTTATTTTCTGGACAATTTGCTCGTACAAAATTTACTTGTTCAAAGTATTGTAACTTATCCTCCATTTTTCATTTATTTGATAACATAATTATATCATATAATTCTCTTCTGGATATAAAAATATAATTTTTATCAGCTGGATCAGTTAAACAGAAAATTCGGTTGTTAACTGCATTTCAATAAAAAATTGTATATAAAATTTAAAAAATCGAAAAGAAACAAGTTCGTGCAGGATTTCAATCTTATTCATAATAGACAGATAAGTACTGAATAAAAATAACGTAAAAAGATAGAGGTGATGTGGGGAGAACTTTTTGCATGTTCTTTCAAAGTTAATTTTAATGCATTAATTTAAACGAATTGGTCCCATCTTCCAAATCAATATTTGCGATAGATAAAAATTGATACTATATACAATTTAATTACTTACAACATGGAGCACTATCTATATTAGTTTGATTTTAAAATGTTAAAAGCTCAGTGCTTTAATACTAATATTAGCTCTCGCAAAGAAAGTGTTGTCGACTTTGGAATTAGCTAGTGCAGTCCAAAACATGTCGAGGTCCATGTCTATACCTGGGTTAAATTCGTCAACTCTTGCTGTGTTCAAATATCAATAACCCTCCTTCAAAAGAAAACATTCAATTTTTGAATATATGCCAGGTTTTAGGGCGTTCTGCCCCACTGTGAGGCAATGTCAAAATCCTACTGCAGGCCGAGTTTGAAATTCGAATCGATCACACTTAACACAAATCTCCAAGTTGTAGCTGCCTAAATTCTTCTCAATTTTACTTTCTCCATCTTCTATACCTACCAAAAGATAGAAAACCAATATCTCTTTGACTATTTTAATCAATTGCCTCGTCCTGTTCTTTTTGCAGGAAATCTCTGTGGCCATAATCCTATATGCTGTTCTCAAGATCCAAATAAGCGATGCAAAATAATAGAAAACTTCATAGAAATCTCTGATCTACTCCAACTAAATACTATACAGCCTATTTTCCTCAGTTCTAATAACGGTACAATTTCTACTCTCGACATTGCCCTTTGCAGTCCTACGCTCTGTACCATATACAATCAATACTGGACAAAGCTGATGGATCCAAATTTACGTCCCAAGTTATTGCACCACAGTGCTCTCCGTATGATTTGAGTATTGAAGATGGATGCGAATCCATTATAAACTCAATAACTGAAGCAGCTAATTCATAGATACATGACATATGACTGTTTGAAAAGATCATAAGTCCCATGGTTTGATGATAATTTCAAAAATGCGTGATAACTGAACATCTAATAGAATAAAAATCATACAAATTTTTTTTGGGGGTCCGCCACGAAATAAAAGTCAACTCTTCCCAGCCCGGGTTCGAACCGGCGCACAGTGGGGCGGATAGCCGATCTAGGAGGAAAAAATTGATTGAATTTAATTTTCAAATGTAAATCACCTATTCGTTACAATAAATAGAAATAATACTTTTATAGTCTTAATTAAGTCAATATAAATTTAATTTATGGCGAAAATTTAATTTAAAAAAATGAAAATGTAAAATCATAATTCCTAAAAATAAACAAAAAAAAAAGGAAAACAATGAACAACAATAATTATATAAACGAAAGCAGTATGGAAGTATTAAAATTAATTTAATTTATTTTTTTCAATCTTATAACTTCAACCACTAGAAAGCTCACTATCTTACTGAAGCCCCTCATAATCGCCTCCTAACGTCAATTTAAATTTTCCTTTTATTAATTTTGTTTTTTTTCTTTTCTTGTCTGCACAGTCTGTAAATATTTGTTCCCTTTAAAAATCCATATCCAAAACGCCATGCGCCATACTTTTTGAAATTATGCCAACATGCGCCAGGCCCTTTATGGATACCTCTTCTAAAGTATATCCAGTAATTTCCGCTCATTAGTTTTTCGAAGTAAGCAGAAAAACATTATTAGGTCTCCCTATTCCCTCGAAATCGCGAAAAGACTGGTAGTTATTATCAATGTTTATCAGGTCTAGAAAATATGCTTTAGCTATGACCAATTTCTCTAAAAAAAATAAACCATTGTCTGACCATTTCTCCATTATCTTTCAAACCTGTATAAGTTTTATTATGTAATTCATTTCGTTTTCATATGATTAAAAAAATTTGATCCCAGACTTTTCTTTTACGTTTTTGGAAATAATTAAAAAAAACTGTACTTATCGCAAAGCTGTGCAAAATTTGATTATTATTTTTTGAAAGAGCATAAAGAGTGCTACAAAATGAACAAAATAATGTAGCGGTGGGTCTCCGGGAAGGGTATTTTATAGACCATATATGTGTTGTTTATGTATTTCAAAGGTTTGATCATAGCCATTTTTTAAATGCAACTGTAACCATCATCAAACTGGTTGAACTTAAATTAATCCAGTGAATAAAGATAGTTAAGTGAGTGATAGTCGTAAGTAATACCATACACAGGATCTGATTTGAGCTATAAACAAATATAATGCTGGAGGTATTTGTCAACCGGTGGGATTGAAGGCCTGCTAGCCCAAACCTCACTCTTCCGTATTTTACAGCACTAGCGGATTCAGGATATATTTTTTTTTTGGGGGGGGGGGGGGAGGGCTTCAGCCCGAAAGGTTCTTTTTTTTATATATATAACGATAATTACTTTGGAAAAAAAAAAAGAAATATACTAACAACCTATATGAAATAATGCTTAAGTGATTCTTGAAGTCCTATTAAATGTAATCACACGAACAATAATACTTACAGAGATAATTTTTTTCCAGAAAATATGGTTACATTTTATCATTTTGAGGAGGGCTTCAGCCCGAAAGCCCTCTCCCCTACGTAGATCCGCCTGTGCTCTACAGTGAGAGTTTAAACGAACTTTCCTCCTGACTTGGTAGTATTCTTTTTCATGATCATCATCATGGTTATGCTTTTATCCTATTTAAATTCAATAGGTCCTAGTAAATTTCCTGCATAGGTAGGTTTCTATAATATTGTAGATCGTATTTAATAAATGATTTTTTTGTTTGTTATCAAGTTGATTTTATCCTGGTAGATAAATCAAGCAGTTTTTTTTTTTTTAATTATGGTGTGAAATTGACACTTGATGGCTCAGAAATTTTTTCAGAAAAGATATTTCTCTTCAGCGAAATGAGCAAGAGGGAAGTTAACAGTCCTTTGAAGCAACTATTAAGATTAACTGGAGACGAGGAGTGGGAGAGGGGGTGAGTGCTATATAAGGCGGCGGTTCGCGAGGTTCAAGCCAGTTCCCAACAGCATCCAGGTTTGGTCTGTACTCCGTGAGTGAGCCACAAACACGCTCCACGACCATCGTTAGTTTTAATTATTTTCTATAAGCAATTCTTATATGCATTTTTCTTATATCAACAAGTTTTTAGGTTTAAACTACTGATTAACATTTTTCATAATTTTTCTATTGAATGCATACAATTACACGGTCAAATCTTACATTTAACACTTATAAAAGTAAATGTATTATTATTGAAACAGTGTATAGACCATTTTATTATTTTTCCAACAGATGTAGTATATACATATAAATCAAAGATATTGGAAATATTCTAATACATATTCATATATTTTAATACATTACAATTATTGGTTAAATAATTTACTTTGTGAAGGAAATAACACTGATACTGGAGAGAAATTCACAGAAAATTTGAAAGTTGTGACGAGTTCTCCTTTGGTTTCCTTTCAAAGTTAAACATTAATTACCAATCAAAATGATTAGCATTAAAACATTACATAAAATCTCAATGGAATGATAATAGTTGCACAGTTTTATCCTAGCTACGTTAAGAAGGAAATCATGTTATAAAGTTGTACTTATTGTATGATTTTTGAGTGTTTTATAACGATCAGAATGCGAGTTTTGAGGGCTTAACGCGTTACTATTCTTTCAACATACTTAAACAATTCTTATAAGTAATGTATTTATACGATTAAACACAATTACGCCCACTAAATTATAATGATTATTTGATAATGTATAAGAATTACTTAAATGAATATTGCTATACTAAATATCATTATAATACAATTAGTCCTTGTAATGGACAATGTATTATTTTTATACCACTGGATTTCTCTACATTTTTAACTTAGAAAATTATGTTACCTTGCAGGAAATGAGAATAAACATAAAGTAATTTTCTTTATATAAAGTTGTTTTTTGTGAAAAATAGATGAGTAGACACAATTCCTAATGTACTAAATAACTCCAAGCAGTAAGCTGATGAATCAGTTATCGTATTTATATAAAATTAATGAATAAATTAAAAAAATATTCAAAGAATTCTTGATGAACTTTAATGCAATAAAAATGTTACAATCCACGGATCTGTATGTTTGATGTAGTTGAATTTACTTTTGTTAAAGTGAAAATAGTTAGTTTAATGTTTAATTAAAACATTTAGAAGATATATAATGCAATAAAAGATATATAATGCAATTAAAAGATATATAATGCAATATTTATGAGGCAAGTATCACTAACCGTATACCACACTATAAAAGATCCTTCTTATCCAAAATTTTCACTATTGTGATAGCTGTTATCACTTTTTATGAAAAAAAAAAAAACCAGCCAATCATGCATATGAATGTGACCGTATGTCGTATTTGGGTACATTTTTATATGAGGGAGTCAAAGTGTCCATGTAATAAAATGTAGATATATAGCTATTTTTATTCAAATTATTTCAACTAGAAAAAATATATATACTACCTTAGAATGGGTATTTCTTTTATTATTTGATTGTTTATTTTTCGTTAAATAAAACGAATAATAATACAACGAAACGAGGTCATTAGGGTGTATCTGTATTCAATACCACAATAATAAAAAAAATCTGAATATTTATATTAAGGCTTCTTCATTTACTGGCGAAATATTTAAAGATTGTAACTGAAAGTAGTTGGTATGATGGTTTGATATCTTGGAAACTATTTTTAATTGAGTTTTGAATATGTGGAAAATATATTCGAAAATGTCGTATTTTAGGTTCGTAGTCAATTATCCAATAAAGGAATTTTGACCACCATTTTATGGCAAAATAATAGACAAAACTAAAATACACATTTCTTTGTATATATATATATATATATATATATATATATATATATATATATATATATATATATATATATATATATGTATATATACACATAAACCTTTGGTGTTTGGAACTGTTGCAAGTGCATCTCCACCCTCAGAAAATTCCTGTATCCGCCACTGCTTGAAGGAAGGTAATTTTATATTTGTCAACCATTTAAAATGTAAAATACAATATGGTTACACTAATTCGTACAACAATATATTTATACATTGATGGCGATCCGCTATTCGAACCCTTATATGCAGATATACAAGTATTCTTCTTTTTAACAAGCATTTGTGTGCTCTTTAATATACCATATTACAATTTGATGAAAAATTTGCAACAGATTATAATACCAATGCGAAAATAGTTATATAAATTCATTTAAAAAAAAAAAAAAAAAACTTCGATATTTATAATTATAAGTTCTTTAATAATAAAAAAGTGTATTACATTGTATTTTTTGAGTTATGTCTCTCTAAATGGTTTAAAAAAACAATCCCAGTTCAGTTTAACTGTTGTTCTAGTATCACATTATTGATCCATAATGAAGAGTTCTGTAACTTTTTGTCGTTGTATTCAGTGTATTATTTAATATTAAAAAATATCAGAGTGAAAGTATTAACAATCAACACAAATTCGATTTGATAATAATTTTTTAATATTATTATTTATTGAAAAATATTACAATCTGTCTCAAGGACATTTATAATAGTGTTCACAGATCACATTCACACTCTTTGATAATAATTAAAAGAATTTTAAATTTAATTGAAGAAGACATGACAAGGGACTGCATTTGAAGGCAAGAACTTTAAAAAGGGATCCAAACCACATTTATATACATAAAAAATATCTGGTGTGTCCACCCACGACTTTCCTACCTATTCCAGAAAAGTTTTTATAACTTTACATATATCCATCAAGAAACAAAAAAAAAAAAAAAAAAAAAATGAATTAGATTTATTTTTCTGAAAATTGTTCAAAGAAAAAAGATGCGAGTTCGATTTAATTGATAAACTAAAGCAATGTAAACCGGCTTAAGGTAGATCAGTGTAAAAATTTCAACACCCTCTATTATTGCTGATCAAAAACTTTTTACCATAGCTTAATTTTTCCAAACAATAATTTTTGTTGAAAGAAGAGGAAATAGTGAAGCTTGTGTGATGCGGGCAACAGAGTTCCTTACTTTCACTTAGTCATCTTTTTTTCTCTCATTCATCCCTTTCTGAAACCCGTGGATATGTACCCTTAATCTTACATTGGAAACTGAATAGCTGTAACTTCGTTAATAGTTGTCCAAAATGAACGAAAACTTTTTTTTTTCGGGGTCTGACTCAGGTGGCTCTGAAACGTTTAGAACCGTCGAAAACTGCATATCGGAAATTTGACCCGATCGCAATACTTTCTTTACCTAGTATAGGTAGGCAAGTAAAAATGATAGGGACTTCTTAACTGTGGCATGCGTTCCACTTTATATGTTGTTACAGGACTTGTAATGAAATAACCTATCACTTTTCCTCAATCATTTTAGGTTATAGTTAAGTATTGGCCGTCTCGGGATTTCTTAAATATTGAAGGGGATTTCTTAAAATAAATTTTAAACGTATATTTCTCAAACTGGTTAATATTGTAAATGCTCTTAATTTTTATATATTAGAGCGTCTCATAAGTTTATAATTTTTTTCTTTATTTGTTTTAGAGGTATTTGTTAGCGGTATTTTTCGTTAGACAGAAACTCTCACAGTTTGATTGGGACGTTCTACCGCATCCTACGTACTCCGCAGACCTTGCCCATCCGCTAATTATATGTTTCTTTAGTTAAAAAATTTTCTCCGTGATAAATATCACAAATCCGAAAGCGAACTAAAAACGCACCTCCATGAATATTTTGCAAGTAAGTCTCAACAATTTTGTAAAAAGGGTATAAGAGGCTTCCTGAGAGATGGAAGTAGGTAATAGAGCAGAACGATTCATATGTAAAACAGTAAATTAACCTTGGACAACAAATAAAGAAAAAGGAAGGAAATAATGGGACAGCCTAATAGTATAAGTAAGAGAAGAATAGTTGGGGTGGTCAGTCAAAAAAGAAGGCAAAAATAAATGATAATATTTATTTTGACATATGCCGACGTTTCGACCTGAAGTTCAGGCTATCATCAGGGCTGACTGCTCTAAAGTAAAGATGATAGCCTGAACTTCAGGTCGAAACGTCGGCATATGTAAAAATAAATATTATCATTTATTTTTGCCTTCTTTTTTGACTGACCACCCCAACTATTCTTCTCTTCATTATTCACGACAGTCAACCATTTACCATTATAATAGTATAATTGTATTTTTTAAGTATATAGAAGATAAAACCATTTATCGGGATATTAAAAAATAGTACAAAAACATCACTTATCGTTGTAATAGTGTAACTAAAAAAAATTAAATATAATGTATCAAAAGTAAAATTTTACTATTAAAAAAGATTTTCTAACAGTTTTAAATTGTTTATTATGTAACTGTTATCTATTTGGCCAATTTATTGTTATTATTTTTTTTTTAAAAGATGGATTTCTGGGAACATTGGGAATTGGGATATTATAGAATTGGTAAAGATACCCTTAGTTCTTATTTTATACACTTATCTTTTATTTATTTAATTTATGTATTGATTTATTATTGATGTCATTATTAATAAATTGGATAATAGTCTATAATTGCAATTAAAACTGACAACATATTAACGATTATTTTTATTAACATATACTGTTTGGTGACACAAAATAAAATATAATATGTATTAACTTGTATTAACATTTTTCATTTTAAAAAATATATTTGTGACTTAATTTTAATATTATTGACATAATAATTGTAAGAACTGATCCGCTATATTTTTTAAATATATATTTAAATGAAGCAGTAATCGTTTAAAAATATTTGTTTTATTTGAAAAAAATATTAGGAAGTTCAGTCTAATTTATAAATACGCATATTGTTTAAAATTGAAAGAGAAATTAAATTGTTGTCTATAGTTTGCCATAATTATTCAAACGTTGGAAGAACAGAAGGGCAGAAATGTAATAAAAGTATTTCAAGCTGTACTTGTGTTGTGATAGCTAGAATGAAGAAATTGTTATTAAATTATATCATTAGTATTAATTATTAATACTTGTTATTATAATGTAGTAGATGGTTTTTTTTTCAACTCACCCTTA